ACCGAGTGTTAGCCGTTAGCCAAAACCCATGTTTCACGTATTTTTTTTTATTTTTTCCAAACTTCTTGAGCAAACACAAGTATTGAAGAGTTCTACGAGTTTTCGCGGTTTTAGGGTTGGGTGCGTTCGTTTGGATTAAGGGTTTAGGGATGTATGGGGGGCTCTTAGGGTCTTAGGATTCTGGGGCTTGGGGGTGAGGGTTTAAGGATCCAGGGTTTCAGGATTCAGAGTCTGGGGACTATGAAGTTTAGGGAGGGCTTTCGTTGAACCCCGAAACCCCTAAACCCTAGACCCTCAGCCCTCAAGGGTTACTAGACTAGACTATACCGCCCAGAGTTGGAGTTGGGGTTTAGGATTTAGGGGCTTAGGGTTTAGGATGCACATGTTGAAATGTAATCCCGAGACATCTCCATACGATCCCAAGTGTTACCCGATGTTTAATTTAAGAGCCACGCCCCTAAACTTGTACACACTCAACCCTAAACCCTTGGGTCCTACAACCCTAAACCCTAAGGGAAAGCCTAAGCCCTCGGGGTTTACGCAGGCCAGTTTCTTTGCTCAGGTCTCCTTTCCTCGCGAAGTTCTCTGAAAGCTTGGCCTCAGGTTCTGCGACGGAAATTTCGTTGTTTTCTGTAGCGTTGGGTCTTGGGGCTCCGGGGTTCGGGGTTGAGGGTTGAGGGCGTACGGGAGGGTGAAGGAGTGAATGCAGGTACTGCAATAGGGCTTCCGGGTGGGGAAGTGAATTATAGGCATTATCATGGAACCCTAAGGGTCCAGGGACCTCAATAATAGGGTTTTAGGGCCAAAATACCATTGATACTATAGTATTTGGGCCCTACAACCCTATTATTTGAGTCATTGGATACTTAGGGGAAAGCTTTCCCTTTGGACGAAAGCCATGTCAAGAATCCTATGCAACTCTAAGTGCGCAATGCCCAAAGAGTCGTTCATGCATGTGGATTTAATGACAGTCGCATCTTTTTTGGGTGCCGTGTTTTCTAGAATAAGCCCCTAAAAGCGGTGGTAATATAGGGGATTATATAGGGGAGTATTATAGGGGTGTTTGGGGGGGATACTTGGAGTCTAGACTATAGGTCATGTAGGGTATGGTAGCTTTTATGGGTGTGTTTGGTAGGGTTGTTGTGGGCTTGTTTTGAAAAGCGTATGCTGCTTCTTTAGCAATGTGGTTGGTGTACGTCGGGGGTTCCCAAGGATGGCGAACATGCACGCCATGGGTCAACTGGGTCAACTGGTTCTGATGTGTTCGCGGTTTAGGATTTAGGGTTTAGGGGCCTGTACAAACACGAAAACGATCAGCTTTCTTTTGGGTGGTATTCGCTCTTTCGTCACAATATGCAGTACCCATGAGACTGTTTTCGCTCTGCAATATTGTCATGTGCTTTCAATCTGACAGCCATGGTATTAAAAGAACCAGCATGATGCTGAGTACCCATGCTGCGGGAACTATAGTATTATAGGGGATATAGTCCTTTTATAATCCTTAGAATTTATTCCGACCCTTAAATTGCCCCAATATAGTCCCTATTATACTATACTTGAGGTCAATCAGGGCTAAGGACCTACTGACTGCTTGAAGCTTGAAGCAGGTGTTGTAGGGTTTTGGGTTTAGGGCTTAGAGACAGGTTCTAGAAGGGAGGTTTGAAAGCTCTGCGGCTACTGGGTGGGTTGTTGTTAAGGACCCCAGCATATGTTGCTACAATAAGGAAGTTCCGACAATAATCAGTTGTACAACAAACACTCAACGCAGGTACTTGCACAGCCTCGAGTCTGTATGTGTGTGCCTGTTGTGCGATCTTGTGGGCGGCAAGACGAAATCTGCGAGTACGGGGACTTCACAGCGTATCTCAGGTTCTAATTCTAAGCACTAAGCCCAAAGGTTTAGGGTTTAGGGTTTAGGGTCAAACATTAGAGATCGTAGTCTGGCTAAAGCCGACATCATGCCTCATCTAAGCGGCATCAGGGCCCTGAATGCTGTATGCCAGACATCTTCAACTGAAAAACAACATGTCGTGAGCTAATTTGAATGGCTCTCAAATCTATCACCCAGGGTCGACGTACCCAAATACTATGCTAGGGCTTTAGGTCCTTTTGGTCCCCACAACCGCTTAGAGTATGACGTTTGTGACCAAACACTCCTCATATTTAGGTACTTGAACCCTGAAGGTATGGTTTGTTTGGGTGCCTTGGCATAGCTCTACAAACATGCTGCTGGTTTCGCTCTTTCTGCAACTCTCTACACTTGAGGGCCTCAAGTTGAACCCGCGTGCGGGTTTACAGCTTGTTCGTGCCCTAACCAAAACCCTAGGTCCAAAACCACGTACCAAAGGCTCAGTCTGGATGGTTAGTGTGACCCTGCTGTCTAGAGTCTAGCTGCGCTGCGGACAAGTAAGCTTGAAATCTCGTACTTCATTGTTGGATAGAGGATTTTACTGCTAAGGGATCTGTCCGGACCAGATCAAACGAGAAACATGATGTTTGTGATGACCCCCATCTAGGTGTTTCTCGAGATGACCGCATAGGGGTTATATGGGAGGGTTATATGGGATCATCAAGAGATTCGGGCCAGGGGCCAGGGGTTGTGGCTCCAAGAATGGAGAATTAACTGGATTTGAAACTGGAACATGAAATGGAAATTCAGGTTCCTGTCCAGAACGCCTACAGCCTTGGGGTTCAGGGTGCCAGATGGAAACTAGGTTCCCTACAGGTGTCTGTAGGGTTATGGAACATAGGACCTGAGTACAAATCCCAAGCCCTAAATCCTAAGCTTACGTCCTCCCAGGCAAAGAATCTGAAATGCAAGCTCCCGGAGACTCCTCCTCCTGCTCCTCCCCAAACATCGCGGGAGACGAGCTTTAAATACTTGCCCTCGGTGGGTACTTGGTGCCCAGGCATGCAGAGTGAGAGGTTCAGGGTGTACAATTTATGATTTAGGGTTTAGGGTCTAGAGTGGGTGTCAGGGTCCAGGGTTTAGGGTTTGGGCATTCCTGGGGGTTTGGTGGCTCAAGGTCTGTGTATCATTGCCGGTCCTCTGGTGCAGGGTTAAACATCAGAAAGTGTTGTTTGAAGTTGTGACGAACCCTAAACCCTGAACCCTAAACCATCATAAACCCTAAGCCCTATGCGACGTAGGTACTGGGTATCCTGTAGCAACCATGTTAGGGATACCCTTCGGCTTGTTCTTTATAACTGGACTCTGCTGATATCCTAGTTTGTTGGAACCCCTCACCAAACAAGCACATGCTGCATTTAGGTCAGTGTTTAACAAGCCCCTGGAAAATTCTCACGGCAAATGAAGCCCATCGTACTGGTGATTACGTGCATCTATGTACATGATTAACTCGTTTATAGTCCCCTGGAATAACCCTTGCCCTAAACTTCACATGAACCCTGCACCCTAAACTTCAACCTAAGACGCTAAACCCAAAATTAGATTCTTCCCCTAAGCGTCCAAGGACCCAAACAATAGGGGTTTAGGTCCCAAATGCCATGATAATAATGGTATCTGGGCCCTAAAACCCTATTATGGGTCCTTGGACCCTTAGAGTTCCCCTCAAACACCAGTAACCCTGCGGTACGTCAAGGTATGGCCTCCAACAACTGCAGCCTAAGCTGACCACCACAACGGCGACCGTCCAGCAGACACCGTCAGCCATCGTAGAGGCTCGGCCGCTAAAGGGTTTAGGGGTTTAGGGGTTCAAGGGTTTAGGATTTAGGGTTTTGGATTTAAGGGGTTAGGGTTTGGGGGTTTAAGGGTTTAGGTTTTAGGGGTGCTCTTTGGGGGTTTAGGGTTCTAGAGGTGGAGGGTTTCAGGGCGTTGTTTTCCACAAGACGTGAACCTCTCGTTGGCACTGAGCTTGGACCTTAGACCCTTAACTTTGTAGGATTCCCTTATATGCCTATTATAGCTACCCAGAAGTTAACTGTTATACAGCAGGGGTCCCAAAGGCCACGCACACCCTGAACCCTAACCAAACCCTATACATCAACTCAAGCCCTGGCTTAGGAGTTAGGGACGGGAGATGTAGAGGTCCAAACGGATGTTATAGGGGCTATGTAGGGGTTATATGCAGATTATATAGGGATTATGATTAGAATATAGGGGTTACATAGGGATTATATACGGGTTATATAGGATATACAGGACCGTATTTACGTGCACAGGGATGACCTATCGAGCTCCGAGCTCAAACCCCGATGATCTGGAGCCCAAACCCTGGAATAACAGAGAGGTAACCTCAAACTGGCCTCAACCCAGAGTGTCCCAGTACCCAATAATTAGGTCCCTTTAAGGGGGATATACAGGGGTACATAGGGATATATAGGGTATATGTTGAGGGTTTAGGGTTCAAGTACCCAATAATTAGGTACTGGGGTCTGGGATAACAGTAGTTATAGTACAGGTGTTGGGTAAGTATATGGTTATTAGGTACTTGGACACTCAGGGAAAGCCTAAGTCCTAAACCTGCACAGAAAGAAGCAATGAAACAACCAGGGCCAAGCCAACAACCAAGGCTCTGATTCAGATTCGACCACGTAAAACACGTCGAAGACCTACCCTGCGATGGAGAAACAAAACCATTTGCCGTGGCCCTTCTGCCCAGGTAGCACCACGAGCGGCGTGGCACTTGCCACTGGCCATAGCAATAGTAATAGTAATAGTAATAGTAATAGCAAACAGTAAACAGTAATAGTCATAGTAATTGCAGATTTACAACACTTGGGTGTCCAGAGGTCCGTAATCATCTAAAGAATCCTGTTGCATTGGGGTTTATATCAGGGCCCCCTTTTTTGTGGAAAGCTCCATATATTGCAAGACGCCCTTGTGGTCGTATCTCTAGGGAGACTTTTGGTCCCAAAGTGGTTGTAGCTTGACTGTCTCTTTCCTAGCATGGGTCAGAGATGAGGGTTTGACGTGACCGTTCAGGAGCAACATGCTCTGACCTCGACATTGAACCCGAAACCCTACCCTAAGGGTCCAAGGACCCAAATGACAGGGTTTTAGGGCCAAACAACGATCTGTGCTTTTGGTGCAGTACTTGGAGGTCCATGGTCCATGGTTGCTTACAACCAACCTCTGGCCGAACATATTTGGTTTAGGGTTCTTACAAATACAAGTATACTTATGTTACAAACATCCTTGGGCTACCCAGTAAAGGCGATTCTTTCGGGGTTGGCGGAAAGGCCTGGAGGGTTTGCAGCCTCAATTGGTTCAGGGTTCAGGGGTTTAGGGTTGACGGTGTGGGGTTTAGGGTTGTAAGGTTTAGCGTTTAGGGGTTTAGGGTTGAGGGTCTCGGGGTAGCGCACAAAGAACCACGGGAATCCTGTTGAATCTGCGTGCGTACTTGGAGGGTCAGCGGGACTTGGTAAGTAGGCTTACATAGGGTTATTATGTGGATTATAGTGGTGACTGACCTACTTTCGAAGTCCCCTGACCCTCCAAGTCAGTGTGTTTGGCATGTCCTTTGTATGCGTCAAGCCACACTCTTCAGCCTATTCCAAGCCCTAGATCCTCCCTAAACATTGAGCCCTGAACCATAACAAACCCTACATCCTAAAGCCTAACCCTTAAACCTGGAATCTCAATCCTTTGATTTAAAAAGCGGAAAAATTCAGCTCCTCAATCCAATGAGGCTGCCTTCCGTTGGGACATGGAGCGTTCCAAAGGTGAGTTGCGCAGTGCGAGCATCTGCCAGAAGTGCAGCATGGTGCTTGTGATGACCCCCAACCCCAAGGATCCCTGTGTCCAACGAGTAAGGGTTTAGGCTTTAGAATCTAAACCAACAACCGTAAAACCTTAACCCTAGAGCGGTAGTGTAGGTTTTGGAGAAGCCTTTCAAGTGCAGCCTGGCAGCTTTGTAATCTTACTGGACATGGACTAAAAGAAGCTAAATGAACTTGATTCTTGAGCTATAGCCTAAACCTCTAATGTACCCCCTATCCCCCCTTGGTATCCCCTAACATACTCCCCTATATTATATCACGCCACATATAACCCCCTCGTAAGGAGTTTAGGTTATAGCTCATTTAGGTTGTAGGGATTCAAGGCAGGGCAGCTGGGGAATGGATCCCTGTAGTACCCTAAGGGTCCAAGGACCCAAATAAGAGGGCTTAGGGATTAGGGTCTAGAGTTTAGGGTTTAGGGTCCAAGGACCCAAATTTTTGGGGTTTAGAGCCCAAATACCATTAATATGAATGGTGTTTGGGCCCTAAAACCCTATAATTTGGGTCCTCGGACCCTTAGGGGTGGTAGTTTTCTGTTCCATTCCGTCGTTCAGTTCCCAACCTAAGAAACAGCAAGTAGTGAGGTCAAAGGGTTCCAAGCGTTTTGTTCCAGACAGAGCCATACCTCTCGCAGAAATGTACTCGATGAACCCTGTAGCCACACGATTTTTGTATGAATTGGTTAGGGATCGGAGTTAGGCCACTTTCGTTTGCGAGGAAAAGTGTGCATGTGGGATACCGCAACACCGTAACTTGAGTCACCGTAGCTTCAGCACGTTCTACTCTGTCACAGAGACGGCCCGCAAGTTCCAAGTGTTGTTGTTCTTGCGATCATTACCATCTAAGCCCTAAACCCTAAACCCATTATTGTTGTCAGCCAGCTCTTTTGGAACACTTTCAGGTCGCTTGACAAGCAGGCGGAAAGTGTCCCCGTGCTGGGCAAATTTGGATCCCTTAGGACTACTGAAAGAATGCCAGAAGCGAAAACAAAAGCGTGGCTATGCTTTTCAGACTACGGCTGCATTTTTTCACCATGTGGCGACCCTCACACTTCATGTACCTTGTGATCGTGGACCGCCACAAGATTTGAAGAGCTTGACTTAGAGATCCGGATGGATCTTTTGTTTTGGCAACTCCCCACGCGCACCAGGACATGCAATCCCCACCGAGTAAAACCCTATATGCAAGAGTTGATGGAGGGTTGACGCAGCGCCTTATACCTCGAGATTTCAAGATCATGCAGGATCCCTGCAATCTCTAGAGCCAGCAGCAGGGATCAGGGTTGGCAAGACTTCTTTCATCAACAGTAGCCAGGCATGTAGCTGTGCGTAGAAAAGTCGTTGTATTCATGCATGTGCACTAGAGTTCCAAATGGCCCAATGTAGATCATATTTAAAGTCTTTAGGGCCCAATGTAGGTAATATTCGTATATTTGGATCCCTAGGGTAGTACTTTGCAGTATCTGACTGTCTGACTGACCGTGGCATCACCTACAATGGCTATTTTAGGCGCCTCCAGTACCTTGTATCGGTGGCGAGACCACTATTGGGAGGACCACCCTGCAGTAGGAATATGAGAGGGCCCGTATCAAATCCGTATTTTCCCTTATAGTCACTATTCCTGCGCGGAAGGTGTCTGCTTAAGAGCACCAAGTCAAGAATCGTGCAAAGTCCTCCCGCAGATCAGAGCGAGCAAGTCCGTATACGTATTCTTAAGTATGGCCGTCGGAGCAACGACAACACTTCCAGTCTTTCCCTCAGGGTCCATGCATCTCAGATAGCATGTGAAAGTACACATATAGGCACCCCTTTGGGGCGCTAAGCCTTAATCACACCCATCAACCCTAAACCGTCTCCATTCCAGTGCAGGAATTCCCTGTAAAAGCATAAGGGGTATTGTGCCAAGTAACGAGTACAGGCATCTTGAAACGCTATGGTGCTCCCTAACTAGAAGCTTCAAGTTTCAGGTTAGGGCTTAGGTTTTGGCATCCACTTTGAGGGTCAGGGAGACTTAGTAAGTAGGTTAATAACTCCTATACCTACTTATTAAGGCCCCCCGACCCTCCAAGTAGGGTTTGGAGTTCAGGGTTCAGATATTAGCCTAGGGTTCAGGGCATATGTTGAGGGCCCTGAACCCTAAACGCTAAACCCTGAACTCTAAACCCCGAACTCTAAACCCTTAACTCTAAACCCAAAACTCTATTATATACCCTAAACGATAAACCCACTCTTGACCCTAAACTCTAGACCGTAAACCTTGGTTCAACCAAGGTGGCCAGTCCGGTCTAGATGGCATCCTCGACGTCTCAAAAGAGACCCTCGCTTGGATGTACGGCCTCGGGTTTAAGGTTCTGGGTTTAGGGCTTAGGATGTAGGGCTATATAGGGCTTAGGATTTAGAATGGTTTAGGGCTTATGGTGCGGGGGCGGCGGGGGGGGGGTTATGTAGGGGTTTAGGGCTCAGGTCTTGGGGGTTTAGGGTTAAGGGCCTCGGGTTTAGGCTTCATGGCCGTGTAGGAAGTAGGGCTGTCTAGGAAGTAGGGTCTAGGTGTTGTGTTACTTGTTATTGTTCACCTCCCCCTAAGAATGAATCCCGCCCTCATTTGATATAGTCTCCCCAATCATTACATAATGGTACTATATGTCGGGAGTTTGTTATTGGGGCGGGGGGTGGAGTCAGGACGCTTCAAACCCAGTGCCATACTGTCATACTAGAATCCCGGACTCTTGAGGATTTGCAGCAGCTCAGAATCCAAAGATGAGCCTGCAACCTGCACATTTCCCTAGATATCCAAGCAGCCAATGCACATAGGTACCGTTTATGGACTTTGGGTTGGGTATTACCTGTGGTACACTTAGATCCCCAGGGTTTCGTGAAGAGTTCAATGTACGTCATCAGTCGGATGCATGTGGGGAACCACCGAACAAGTTCAAAGTG